TAATGAGCATATACCACGGCCGTCGGAGCTATTGCTTCTTATACTTTTTATTTTCAAATACCAAACAGAACATGCATTTTAGCCATTCCTCATTTCGCTCAAATTCAACACTGTCTTTGCATCATGGCTGATTCTGTGAAACAGCACCATCTACAGGCCTGGCATAGTATACAGGTCTCAGCGCTTTCCACGGCAACGTGGCTGTCTCCTCCTGATTGGTGGAGTTGGCCCAATAGCCGTAGCGCCACTTCTGTGACGTCATAGAAGTGTTCAAATCTGGATCAGTCTGGATCAGATCCGTTGCAGCCCCTTTTTAAGAGATTTGGGTATGGAGGAAAATAGAGAGGGTTGTGTTTTCTGACACTTGGTGAGTTCCCTGGAACACCGGGGACACAGGTTCATGTAGAAAAGACGTACAAAGTGCATTTTGCATGATAGGTCCCCTTTAAAAGAACGTTCACAGAGGCAGGTACAAATATACTGTATGGAAGAACTTGTAGATATAACTTTAAATATTTTGTAATATTACTTGTTTGCAGGTACATATATGTGTTGAACTGTCCTGACGGCCCCGGTCTGGACACTCCCTTCCTGATCGATTACTCTGGAGTTTGGTTCAGGAGGGAAGGGTTGGGAGGAAACTACATCGCTGGGACCTCACCAGAGGAGGTTTGTGGAAAAAAACAAAAAATGTTGTACACACTTAGCTTTAATATCTTGTATGGCTGCATAGATTGTGAAACTCTTGGGTAATACTAATGCTTCAAATAACAATATGGCTCGATTGGAGAGAGATTGAGTGTCAGTTTTTTTGGTTGTTTTCCCCCCAATTTTCCCATAAATCTGGTGTTTTTCAGAATGATTACGTACAAAGTACCTACCCAATTTCCATAAAACTCTTGGGTAATACTGATCTTTCAAATAACAATTTGGGTTGATTGGCGAAAGGAAAGATGGAGCTTGTGTTTTATTTGTTTTTCCCATAATTCTGACGTTTTTCCGAATGACTCAATACTTACCCAATTTTCATAAATCTTGGTAGAAAAGAGTGTGTCAAGGGCTAAGGAATCCAAAGTGGAGTGGATCCAAATCACATGTCACAAACACTTCTGGAATTTGGCATTTGTGCTGCATTCATGGTCTGTCAGAATAATTGGAAACTTGCTAACATTTTGTGTATGTATGTTTCCCTCCTGTGTAGGCGTTGGAGCCGGACACCAGTGACCTGGAGGTGGACCACCAGTTCTTTGAGGAGAAGATCTGGCCCCACCTCGCCTCTCGTGTCCCGGCCTTAGAGAAGCTGAAGGTACGGTGTGGAAAGAATATATATATCTTTGCCTGGTTATTGTTCTACAGCTATGCTAGCCCACTGGACTTCATTACTTGCAAAATTGCTTTTGCAGATCAATTTCAGATGATCCCCCTAATTCAGTTACATTTTAATAATACCTTAAAATGCATTATACAGTATATAGGTCATGTTAATAATTCTATATGTATAAGATTTTTTAGTACATATATTTTTTATTACGATGACTATAAATATTAGAAGCGTGGCAATGCCGTCTCAATCATAGGTTTTTCAGAATATGAATGTTTATATTTGTATGAAATACATTTTGTGAATTACTGCAGCCTTAATTATAATAATAATAATAATAATAATACAGGACACTTATATAGCGCTTTCCTAAAAACTCAAATACGCTTTGACAGAGAATAAAACTTACTTCTTCTCTTCTTGTTTCTTTGACGTTATGTTTGTATTATTAAGAAGAAGCATGATCAGAGTTGTGTACTAATGTCCCCTTCCTTCCTCTTCTTATTTCTCTGACATTATGTTTGTATTGTAGAAAAGAATCATGATTTAATCAGAGTTGTGTTCTAATGTCCCCTTCCTTCCTCCCCCCTTGTTTCCTCCCTCAGGTGACGAGTGCGTGGGCGGGTTTCTACGACTACAACACCTTCGATCAGAACGGCATCATCGGCCTCCACCCGCAAATCAACAACATGTTCTTTGCGACGGGTTTCAGCGGGCACGGTCTGCAACATTCGCCCGCCGTGGGTCGAGCCGTGGCTGAACTCATCATGCAGGGAAACTTCACCTCCATCGACCTCAGCAACCTGGGCTTCAGACGCATCATCCAGCAGGAGCCCATGCTGGAGAGGAACATCGTGTAGAGGAACCAACACACCGCTGCTAGAACCACATTACACCTACACATGCTATGGTAAAGGGACTGCTTTGATGTAGCCTCTTATAGTGGTTGTGGCCCCTTCAGAAGTCAGCGTTCACCCGTTCACCCACGTTCACTCAGAGGCCAAGTTTCAAGGCTTTATTGTCATGTGTACATTAGCTACAGTGTAGATGTGGCTCTTCCAACAGTGCAACATATAGGATATAAAACAGGACTGCCATGCAAGGTGCTACCTACTCATTCACACACTCTTATACCATCAGGAGCTATTTTGGGGTTACGTTTCTTACCCAAAGTTGCATGGACATGTTGGGTGGTTCTCAATGTCGAGGAAGGATGCTCCAGAGCCACTATTTCAAGCATGCTACGTCATCGAGTGCCGCCGAAGGACTGTTCCAATGTCCAGGATGCTTGGAATTCTACCGAGCCCGGCGTCCTTCGTTGCGGGAAATTTCGAGGCTGCACATGTGTATCCTCCGCGGTCTTAAAATCCCCACAATACTTTGCACACGGACCAATTTCCCAAAGTCTTTGGTGGAAATCACGCTCCATTTAAGGCGGGGCCTCCTATATGACGCACACCTGTTAGCCTGTTCCACCATTCTTCGTTTTCCGAGGCTAGGAAGGACTCTTGCCTCGCTTCTGAAGGACCTGACTCAGAAGACATGTCCTACCAAGGAAGCGTCCTCGACATTGAGAAACACCCGTTGACTGAAGGGGCTGGGAATCGAACTACAGACCTTGTGATTGGTTGCTTCCACCTACATATGTATGTATGTATGTATATGTATCTATGTATAGATACATATACATATATATTTCTTTGGTCTTCAAAATATTACCTTCAGTAAAGACGACGATAATGAAGAATGTGTCTTAGTCTTACCCAAACTATGCTAAATTTGTCATTATTCCACGGTTTTTACTGTCTACTTTTGATAAATATTGTCCTTGTCTAATGGTCTTACCTTTGAGAATTTCATTTGCACATTTGGATTGAAGTTTTTCATATTATTTTATAAGTTATTATTTTTTTATAAATGTCTTTATAATAGTGGTATTTATAAAAATTAGGTGTTACAATTAGGCATTTAGTTGCTTACAGGAGATTTAAATCATTGCCGGCTTTTACTGCTTTGCTTGGTACTACAGATAGAGAAATATACAACACTACAGGTATGTGATTTAGTGTTGTTTAAATATTATGCACTAGAGGGGGCTATTTCTGCATTTTACATTTATTAAAACAAATAACCAGCAAGCGTATTCAATTTCTAAAAACACATTGTCCTTAATATCATGAAAGGACTACAGTAGTTTGTTGTTGTGAAACCATTCTCTTGTAAAGGTTAGGAGAAAATGGGGTGAATCAAATAATGTTCAAACTAATGCACAACATTTTTGGTTAAATTTAAAATATATATATTTTTCTGCTAGTTTTTTGGGGGAGTAAATAATGATAAAATGATTTTCAAAATAGTTGGCGATTATTTTTAGTCTTGTAAAATGTAAATCCCAGTTTGGTCAGCCGAAAACGCAAAGATGTTTTCACTTTAATATCATAGTCCATGATAAAAGCTCCATATTTAAAGGGGACCTATCATGCAAAATGCACTCTTGTACGTCTTTGATACATGAATATGTGTCCCCGGTGTTCCAGGGAACTCACCAAGTGTCAGAAAACACAACCCTCTCTATTTTCCTCCATACCCACATCTCTTAAAAAGGGGCTGCAGCGGATCTGATAT